CTGACATGATGATGATGATGAAGAGACAATGAGCGTGGGGGACTGTAGGCTTAATTCTCGCATTTACCTCTGGCAAATTACAGAGGCTCATGATCATGCAGTGGAGACTGAATGAATTACCTGATGATCAGAGAGTGCCAAGCTCTATGCACAAAGCATTTATGGTAGCGACGTAGTTGCGTCATTTGCTTCTAATAAAACTACATATTACTGTTTATTTCTTCTAGATTCTTTAGTTTCTTGGGCGTTTTCCACAAAAGGACGTCTGCAAAACTGCATTATCATACGTGATCATACACATTTTCATGCATCTTTATTGCTTCCAAACAAACATTTAATAGAACCCAAAGGTGCTTGTACAGCCTTCGGCATAGCAAGGTAAACACCACTTTCACGTAGTTGTAATAGGAGAGATATTGCCATACAATGTGTAGTCTGTACGAGTATGTATGCAACCACAGTAAAGATCTTTCTTTGAGTGGCATTGCGGTTTGTACCACGTGCGTAGGCTTAACGATTCGCCCGTTACAAAGTGAGCCGAATTTGGCTGTAGCTATTCCCAGCCACAGATAGAATAAAAACAGCCAGGACATATCATCATCATTTCAGCCACATGACGTCCACTGCTGAACATAAGCCTCCCCAATTATTTCCACATCGCCCGGTTGGTAGCGGCCTGCATCCAGCGCCTTCCTGTTACCTTTATGAGGTCGTCGGTCCACCTAGTGGATGGACGTTGCGTTTTCTGGTACGTAAGTACCAGAGTCCAGAACTAGATTAGGCTAAATGTGCTCGTGATAGTGTTAGTGAAAAAAAGATAAGCTAAGGACAGCGTTTTGCAAATCGTTCTCTGAAATTAACTGAACACCCAACAACTTCAGGCTCAACTTAAGGAATAATTCTTGTTACGTGTTCAACTGGCTAACAAAGCAGTAAACAAGCCTTCTTTTTTGCTCTGTATAAAAATTGACACAGTTTTTCGTCTTTTCTGAGTGACGGAAGATATTAATTCAGAATTGTTGATGTGTTTTAACTCCTTTATGTTTTTTGAAATGGGCTGGCTGTTCTACACTAGCACAAGCAAAACCTCAATCCGTTTGAAGCTTCGGTGGGCGTCTTGTAAAGGGCAATCTTAATAATGATCAATTCTAAATAACAGTCTGTTAGTTTGATTGCTGTGGCGTATTAGTGAAGCGAACATTCCGGTGCAAGGTGGATCACACCGTATTATTTTGTATGTAATGTTGCAACTAAAGAAAAATGGGTAGCTGAAGTATTTGGGTTATTTTGAAAATAAGTCTACTAGTAATACTGATTATTACAGAACAAATTATTGTATACATGTGTAGTTCAATATGTATAATGTACTCGATTAGTTGACCTTTGTTGAAGCACTTTTTTCGATCTGGCGGAATTTCCTTATAACTATTTATCTTGATTTGGTTCACCATTCAATAGTTGTTACAATTAGGGACAGTTTTACCGGTTCCCAGTAAATACAGATAGTAAAATTCAGTATTCTGGCATACCGCTATCTATCAATTAACCCATTTAGACCGATAATTATTTTTGTAAATAAATATCGTTTTTTTAGCAAAAACTTACAAAGGGAAGCCTAAAAATCATGAAAAAAATATTAAAAAAAATAATCCATAAATAGGGGGCCGTGGGGAGCCCGTACCATATAGGGTACAGTAGGTCTATAAGCAAGCAAAACATAGTCGTTGTTCAAAGAAGATTTTTATTTATTTTTGTATGATATAAAATAAAAATAAAATCACATGATCACTACTATCACACTTGGCATATCTTGTAAGACGTTTTCTGTGATACTAACCACATTTGGTTCTTTTTTCCTACCTTCTCCTAAGTTAGTGAGGATAGCTGAAGAAGATCTGGCTTCTTCTGATTTGTTACGTTTAGTGCTATCCATAATCGCATTTAGCAACACGATGATGGAAATNCCAGTGCCTCTACCATGAGTTGCCATCGAAAACTTGTATTCGTATACTACAGTCGATAGAGTTTAAACGTGGATCGATGAAGTTTGCATTAAAATCATACCATGAGTTCAATTACCGTATACTTTACTCGCTAGCGATAATTCGTTGGTTTTGTGATGTCATGTTGGTGAACATGTAAACGTATCCAACTTCACACTCTATGAATGGATGAATGAAAGAACGAATGCCGCTCCTTTCTAACTATATAGAAAAGATAGAGTAGGAAATAACGAAAATGTCAAAAATAACACTGCAAAATTTAAGTGTCCTAGAACAGTGCTTAAAGCTGAATTAACATGATGATTTTCAATTTGTATTGTTTATTTCTTGTCATTGCGACAGCATTGTCAGCTGTTGTCATGACAACAGACAAAAAACATGTTTTCTTGAAGAATTATTGATGAATAATTTTCCACAAAAAATTGGATTTTAACTAGGATAGGAAAATGAGAACCTGCGGCTATCCATTTAAACCGATTGTAGAATTTATGGAAAGGTAAGTTAAGTAAAAATGATGGAAATTTAGCAAATCCATCGAAGAAAACTCTGAGGGTTATTATTTACATTGACACTATCTTTATCGCCTAAATCTTCGTCAATGTGATCATCATTAGCGGTCATCTGATAAGACAGCAGTAGAAAAATACCAAGACTGCTTTATGTTTGCTGAAATTATCAAATTTTTCATGAGTTGTGGCAATATAGTGAAGCATCAATAGCCTTAAACAAATAAAAATAATAAATATTAATTATATTTTTTCGCATGACTTGCTCATGCATGGTCTATGCATGAGCAAGTCATGCGGTACTACTGCGGCTGGATACTGTACCTTATACGGTACACCTATTTTAGACTGGAATAAACCGTATAAAAATAATCTGAATAATATTTTTACTGTAGTCATAATATCTAATGTACTCTATTTTTAAAATAAAATTGATAAATAACATAATTTACCATGAGTAATAAGAAATTATACCTTCTTAAATACATTGTAAATATTTTTTTGGTTTTCTGTCGAGGAATTTCATAAATATTTCCGAAACCACTTGTTAAAACATATTTTAAAATATTTTTATGTAAAATAATCACTTTAAGCTTACCGTCATAATAATTTTTACAAATTAACAACAGTTTGGTACTTCAAAATATTTTCAAAAAGATACCGTACCACATAGGGTACGGTAGGGCTAAATGGGTTAAAGATTGAAGTATCCAGGTCTCCTTATCTATCAGATACTTCGAGTCTCTACCTGAAACCGTTGAAGCCAAAACTTTGTTTCACTAATGATTGGTAAGTTCCCAATAGGCTAACAGGAACTATAAACAGCAAGAAACAGAGGACCTTAGTATCCTAAAGATACAGCCTGTAGCTTTAGCCAAGAGCTATTCAGAAGAAACAGAAGAGGTCCTCTATTTAAGTTTAGTGAAAATGAAAAATATATGAAAATATTTATTGCCAGAATCAAACAATACAATAACTAAAAGACAGACCTCCACACTAGGCATTTCCTGTCCTGTGGAGGAAAGAATAACGATTAACAGGTAGAATTAAGTACGACTAAGCTGAAGCGTTATTTAAGGAACCAATAAATCGAAATATGAAAAGTACACAGAAGACGAAAAGGCATCAGGGATGGATGTAGGGTGTGTGCTGTTGTGTGTAAAAGTAGATGTGTTGTGTATTAGTGTGTGTGTGNNGGGGGGGGGGAGTATTTTCTTCTTCAATTATTTATTCTAATAAATTCTTCAGACTCATCATATGTCAAGTTCATCAGGGTCCGTGAGACGAGAACCTTTGCTTCTCTGACCGTGCAGTATTTATAATCACACAACCTGACAAGTTTATTGTAGATGTGTGGGAAGAGGAAGTTACCAAAACGCCGAGCAAATGAAGTTTTTACAGTAGTTAGTTAGTACCTATCCTAAAGCAGGCAGGCTGTAGCCATACTAGCTACTGGGTCAAGTGTAATTTCCTTCACATTACAACTTTTCATTAACCCATTGACGTCTTCAATGGTTTCTGCAATAGCAATTATTTAGCTATGAACCAATCGTGACGTTTCGATGATTATTGAACTCATTGTTAGGTTAATTGCGATTACGGAATGATTCATTAACCGACTGTCATTTGTGTCATGGATATGTTTCTGTTCCTCGAGATGTCAGTTTTTATTAAATCAAAGATAACGATGATCTCGCATTATCAACAACCTACGTCATTATTATATGTGGTCACCACATAGTCCTGTCAAAACAAGTGATGAAGTGACATTAGCCGAACGGTGAAGAAGTCGGACTGGCCGACTCGAGATCCGAGGAACGCTGGTTCGACGAACTTCGAACTCTTCCGCCACTGGACCCCATCCTCCATCAAAAGCATATTTACCTCAAACCTCAGCCCGAGGGGTGGGTTGGGTTAGTGGGACTGTTGTAATTTGTGCAATTGGTAAAAAATAAAAATCACAAAAATCGTTCTACACGAATTCCCAAAAGTTCTTATTTTCGGGAGAGTCCACTATAAAAGAAATAAAAGTTAAAAGTTTATTAATAAGCACATTATTTTTTTATTTTGATCCAGTGCCTCTACCATGAGTTGCCATCGAAAACTTGTATTCGTATACTACAGTCGATAGAGTTTAAACGTGGATCGATGAAGTTTGCATTAAAATCATACCATGAGTTCAATTACCGTATACTTTACTCGCTAGCGATAATTCGTTGGTTTTGTGATGTCATGTTGGTGAACATGTAAACGTATCCAACTTCACACTCTATGAATGGATGAATGAAAGAACGAATGCCGCTCCTTTCTAACTATATAGAAAAGATAGAGTAGGAAATAACGAAAATGTCAAAAATAACACTGCAAAATTTAAGTGTCCTAGAACAGTGCTTAAAGCTGAATTAACATGATGATTTTCAATTTGTATTGTTTATTTCTTGTCATTGCGACAGCATTGTCAGCTGTTGTCATGACAACAGACAAAAAACATGTTTTCTTGAAGAATTATTGATGAATAATTTTCCACAAAAAATTGGATTTTAACTAGGATAGGAAAATGAGAACCTGCGGCTATCCATTTAAACCGATTGTAGAATTTATGGAAAGGTAAGTTAAGTAAAAATAAACATACTATGTAGTGGAGGAATTTCGAAATTAACGAATAATTTTGAGCTGGTTTTTTTGGAGAAATACAACCTTTCCAGCATAACTTCCACGTGCCTAGCTAAAATTCAGTAATATGAGTGCTAGATTTATATTTTCTAGATACAATAAAGTTGTTTTTCTATAGATATGGCGATCTGAGTAAGCCCACTGAAGGGCCCCAAGAAAGAGCCAACAATAGTTAACGGTGGGTGGAACTAACGGACACGCGAACGTGAAATGCTGATGCCACCGGCGACACGAAAACTACTGAGAAATTGAGAAAAGTGTGTATAAATACCTACTACTATATTCATTTTGATTGCTTTTATCTTATTTCGTCATTATTATTTGTAATGTTTATTTGTTAAGGTGTGGAGTGACTTTAAACAGCAAGAAGAAGGCACCTCGCATACACAGAGCTGCCAAGGGAACACTGGACTGGTGGCGGTCCAGGTTCTTCCCTGAAGCCAAAGGATTTAGAGCAGAGTGCTTGTAAATAACTACTTGTAAATTAAATCCATAATAAAGACCTAGGGTAACTGGATGGATATACCTACCTTATTATTGTAAAACACATTTTCACAGCACAGCTAGACATCTTCGCACGACACAATTCCCTCGCATATCTCTGGGAAACGCAGCATCCTCTCCCTCCCCCAAGGATCTCCACAATGTGCCCGCATCCAGGTTCTTCCCGCGACCTTCACCAGATCGTCGGTCCACCTAGTGGGAGGTCTGCCCACATGCTGATAACATGTTCCATCGTAATAAACTTCTTTCCGACATAATTTAATAAAGAAAACACCTAAAATGACCTAAAACCACAATTTTATTTTGCTTTTCACATGTCAATAAGCCAGTGAGTTACGTTACTGTGACAGCTAAGGTATTTTTCGATGACATCTTTGAAAATTGCAACTCATGGTAAGTTATTTGTATGAAACTTAATAAAAACTTTAGTCGCTATCGTATTCAATTAGATAGGTTTTTTACCTAACGATTTGAGATGAACTCATGGTAGTGTTTTTAGTTTTGCTGTGGTTCAGCTACTAACCGCTAGAGGCGCTGTACAATTTGCCATACATTTTTTTACGCCCTCGATAGCGAGATGCTCGGTAGGTAAACTCATGGTAGAGGCACAGGTCTAGGTAAATGTTTGCTCTAGAATTCTATCATCTAAAACGTTCACGATCCAGTTTGCATCTGTCGATATTTTGACACTAATTTCGAAACCCGATTATACCCGTTCTTTGAACTTAATTGGGTAACTGGCCATACAAATTAAAAGTGCGTCATTAAAGTCAGTGTGGTCATTAGTGTGTGGTAATAGTTTCGACCTTTCCCGACTGTGGGATAACTTCACAATAAGTTGCCATTGTAATAATTGATGCTGATACATTTCACTACATGTCGTGGTTTATTGCGAGGTAAATGATAATTTTGTTTAAAACTAAGTACCTAGTTAACTATCTAAAAGATTATTTTAGTTTTGTATTGGGATTGTTGCTTTGAAACCTTTAACCACTTTAGCTTGTAGAGTTTGTTCTGACCTCTGCCCTTAAACAGTTGTAAATATCTGTAAGAATGTTTTAAGTCAGAGAAGGTATACGTATATGTAGAATAATCTTAATTAACATTTTTCAAAAATTTTTGCCAAATCTTGCAAAGCTTTGTGCTGTAAACATTGATATGAATATCAATTTTTAAATACTTTGTTATTTTGTAAAAACATCCATATAAGTTCGAGTATATTACACCAAACATGGCCTTGTAATACAATTCTCAAATGATGAATGAAACAAATTGGCCACTACATACATAGTCTTGTCCCCAGTTTTCTCCTCATCAAACTACTAACTAATTGTTTAGCATTGTGCTTCACACTGCCCATTGTGTAGACAAACAACTGCTTTCAATCGACTGTTTACAAATTAGAAATAACGCTCGCATTGTTTTGTAAACACGCTTAATTATGCGTTTAGAAATTTGTTAATGAATATTTATTGTTTGATACACTGTGACGTCTGGGATTTGATGAACATTGAAAGTGAGATATTATCGAAAGTCTTTAGCCTCATGTTGCCTAGGGCGTTCATTGCATTTAAATTACTACTTTTATTCGAATACTCTTAAAGATTGCCTGCTGCGGTCGATTGGGAATTTGGGAGTCGTCATCTCGTCATCATATCACTCTCCAATTCAAGAGCACGACCCCAGGTCATTTATTCCTGACTGCAGGAACATGACCCTCTCTGAGGCCAGATCTCATGACCAGAGGCAAATACAGTCTTTAGTAAGATTTTAGAATACACTGCTCCATACTGGCCAGATTGACCAGCTGACACGAAGGTTTGAAGAGGTCTGATGTTTGCATATTAAAATTTGTCCCTCAGTCTCCTTTTACGACATCCACGTGAAGAGATGGTCCTATTCTACTATGTTGGAACCACACGACTTTTGTATTGGCTTACTTATAACTCGGTTACTTAGCTACTTCGTTCGTTTCAGCCAAATGACGTCCACTGCTGGACAAAGGCCTCCCCCAAGGATTTCTATAAAGACCGGTCCTGCGCCGCCCGCATTAAGATACTAACGACTACCTAATAAACTATCTATCAACAAAATACTAATCTTGTATTTATTTTTTCAGGTACGTCAACATTGTATCAGGATTAGCAAGTGTTGCCAGATAGTGTTGTGTACATTCAGGTAAGTGTTGTGTGCAGTTATGTGTCGATACGCCGTCTGACAACAGCAATGGAGAGCTGATAACTGATAGCGATAGTGATAAGATACGGGAACAATACAACACGTCTTTGTCGGATGATAGTGGTGATAGAGGTGGCAAATAATGTTTCAATAAGTTTCTAGTATGGTATGTTTAGATACAAAATCAAAATCAAAATCAAAAAATATTTATTCAGTTTAGACCACAAGTGGCACTTATGAACGTCAATAGAAAATAATAAAAAAAGAAAAAGGTAGCCCTTATGGGGCACTTTACATGTCTCCTTATCTTTTGGGCCCTACCAGCGCTTCGAGACAAACATATGGCAAGTGCTGAGAAGAAACGCCGGAACAAACTCAGTCACCACTTATTGCCAGGAATTATCTAACGGTAAGAATAGTCAAATTTAAGTACATCAAATATGTGCAGACTGAACTGACCACGCATCCTTGTCATCAATATAGTCTCGAACCTTGTAGTACCCTTTGGACATAAGGGTATTTTTTATATGTATCTTAAATTTGTTTATTGGCAATTCGACAAGGTTGTGTGGTATTTTGTTAAATATGGTAATACATTTCCCCAAGAATGAATTACCTATCTTATGCAACCTAAATGATGGAACAGCAAGTTTATTCTTATGTCTCGTGTTAAATGAGTGGACGTCACTTTTCTTAGTAAATAAATGTATATGTTTACGGACATACATAATGTTATCAAATATGTATTGCGAAGCCACAGTCAATATATTGATTTCTTTAAAAACTTCTCTAAGCGAGTCACGTGGTTTAAGACCGTATATTGCCCGAACAGCTCTTTTCTGTAAAATGAAAATTGATTCTATGTCTGCTGCTGAGCCCCACAGTAAAAGACCATAAGACATAATACTATGAAAATAACTAAAATATACAAGCCTTGCTGTTTCAACATCAGTCAAGTTTCTGATCTTTCTCACCGCAAAGGCAGCTGAACTAAGTCTTCCCGCCAAGGCAGCAATATGGGGGCCCCATTGTAATTTACAGTCTAGGGTAATACCTAGAAAGACAGTAGAGTTTATCAGTTCAATGCGTTCATTATTTACTGTAATATTAGTATTAACTTGTTTGACATTAGGCATAGTGAATTTTAAACATTTGGTTTTTTTTTGCGTTTAATAGCAAATTATTAGTTGTAAACCAGTCTAATACTTTGGAAAGAGCATTACAAGCATACACTTTATTACACTTGATTAGTACTACACTAACCTTTGTTTGTCACCTGTCATCCGCTTTGCAATGTGGAGGGAAGTCGAACCTTAGCTTCGAACTCCTATGTTATTCTGATTAATTTCGTTGCGGGTCCAATGACAGTTTAACTTTCCCCGGGATTCTATAGATAATATTTACGCTAAACATAGAATCTTTTTTTAAAATGTAAATAGTTTAAAATATTCCAAATCTGTTACACGTGTCTTAGTAAAATAATCTTGACCTATTTTGAAGAACCAATTTTATTGACTTAAACCATTCAGCAATGCTCAAAAGCAACAAATATTTAATATCAATCTCGAATCAAATATCACGGTTATCTAGCACGCAATGGATTCCAAATATTTACCATCTATTTTTGGTCACGATCTAGTTTAAACAGCGTTTAAGATTCATTTAGCTCCACGACATCCTTTCACTAATATTAAAGGCGTAAAAATACGTAATATTTCGTTTAAAAATATCGATTTCGTCTCATGTATGTATGTTGCCATTTGATGCGTCCCTTTCTTAGCTCTATCTGTATATTTTAAAAATCCTTGGACATTTTACACTACATTATATTAGTACAGTGTTGGTTTCAATTTCTATTTTAACTAAAGTAACCTAATGTTATTCCTAGCTAACTGTCATTGGGAAGTATTAAGGAAATTGACAACTAATAATAACGTTGAAGTGCTAATAAATAATTACGGTAGAATTGTTTTTTTAATTTATAACCAAATCTGGCCTTCTTCACACTAAGGAAATGGAATTTTGATGGCCACTCTGACCGCGTGGTGACAGCTGTTTTACGACCCAAACATCCTTTATAGCCGCCATTAATTAGCTAGAAATAATCAATATTGACTAAGATTTGCGACATTAAAATATTGACCTGAATCTTGAGATTTGACTACTTTGTCGGTGACACTATTTTATTTCAAAACTTAGTTAAGTGGTGGACTATTGTTTTCAAAGGGATAGAGTAAAAGCTAAGCTAATTGGACCTCACCAAACAGCGTACCTGCACCTGAAAGCGCTTAGCACCTAGCTGTTACCGTACAATGCATAAAAAGGTTGACAATGGCTACGTTCGTGACGTCACTGAGCTGTGATTGGTCCACGCGGAATCAATAGCGAAAGTACTATTATAGCCACTTTAACTACAAATTAATTACTTTTGAATCTTATGCAAAAGGTACAAAGTTCTTAATTGTGTGTAAATCTGCATCTGTGGTCGCCATTCAACCAAAATCAACAATCTTCACCATTCAATTTCTAACCTTATACCAAGTGCATAAAGTTCAAAATCCATTAACCAACTACTCAATTGTGGTAGGTTGAGTTGCAGCCAGTACAAACGGTCAGAGGTGCCCAACCATTGTCAATCGTTACGGTGCCTGAGCGAATCAGCCTCTGTGAAGTCATTTGATATGGCATTGTTATGGGGTTGAAGGCCGGGGTTTTGTTTCGTTTTTACTTTGTACTTTGTTAGTTTCATGGTGTCCGAACGGTTACGGACAGGTTTTTGTCAATATTCTATTAAATATTTTTATACAAGGTGTAACTAGCTGGTTACAGATTTACATAATCATAATTTCAGCTGTATTGCGTCCCTTGCTGAACATAGAACAGCAAAAACTTGCAATGTTCATATTTTAACGATATGTTCTGTACATTTTTCTAGTACAGACAACAGCACATCGGACTACATTTCGTTGCAAAATAGCTTCTCATCATCATCATCATCAGCCCTTAACAGTCCACTGCTGGACTATAAGCCTACTCCACTATAGTGGAGGGTTTTGCCATAATCCCCAGGCTTGGCAGGCGGGTTGGAGATCGCAGTTTAAAAGATTGATGTTTTTCAGAGAGCGCTGCTGCCCGCTCTCTGTTTGATGTGTAGTCCCTAAGTCGCCTCTTACGACACCCATGGGAAGAGTAGGGGTTGGCGAAAAAAGCTTCTATTACAACTAATATAACATCCTAAAGTGTTAAGTTGGAAGTGCTGTGTTGTCGTTTCACCATAATAAATTGATCCAACACTATTATGATGCTAGAGAATTGATTATACATATAGAGTTCTTATCTATTGAAGAAGTAGGTGTTTTTATCTCTTCTTATTGCTGAGAGTTTTTGTCAACCTCACAACAGCCTGTATAATATTGATTTTATACTATAGTTTTTTGCCATACTTGAGTTATAAAATAAATAAGTAAGTGAAGTGATGTAAGCCAAGTTGCGTCACAAAAAGCAATCTAATTTCACCTGAAAGCGGAAAGGGCTCCATGTGTAACAATCAAGCCATCGGTTATGTTTACACGGCAATAGAGGAAACGCACTGAAAGCGAGGACGGTTTACACCTGACGATCGTTTATGTAGGTATCACAAAATAAACATCAAAAACCGTAGATATTTTAACCATGAACAGATTTACTTGACAGTTGACGGACTGATTTGAATTGGGATATCAGTTGGCCTGGATTTCTTGCTAGTAATCATTATCATCATTTATCTGGAACTAGACAGTATTACACAAAGTATTTGGAAAAAGATTTCCCTGCGAAGTCGCTAACACAGCTAATGTGTGGTGAGAAGATTCGAAACCGCACAATTTTCTATTGTAATTTTGTTAGCGTTTTAATGTCAATATCCAATATTAAGGTTTCTAAGGACATAAATATTAGACATCAATGATGATTTAAAATTTAAACATCATCAACTACCATTGTAATGAAAATCATAAAGTTATACGTGAATAGAATTTTATTAGACCCTTTTAAACTGACTGTTAAGTTTTATTTAATTTATGGGAGCCATTGTTCGGAGCTAACGAGACCCGTCATTATAATGACAATGAGTGAAAATATATTTTCTTTGCTATACAGTCAACCACACATCAGACTATACACCTTTCTTGCAAAGTCGCTCTTATTGCAATTCTGTAAAAGTCAATGTTTAAAAGCTTGATGTGCCGTCGTTTCTACCACACAGACACCGATTAACGACGCTAACTAGGTTTTGACAAAAGAAAACCGAATGACTTAAAAAACTTTCTAGGACAGTTTTGTGTTGTTTAATCCTTGTATCTACATCTCAATTAATTGAAAATTTCAGAAACCTCTTACAAAAATGTGTAAAACCACTTTTAAAAAAAGCTTTTAATAATAAATTCACAAACTCGTACGTAGAGATCGTCGTTGAACGTCGTATCGTATATTGTCTTTTTTTTTCTGATATTTAACCTGTTATTAATTTTACCTGAATTGGATTGGATTTTAAGCTTAATACATGCTAGGTGTAGAATTAGATTCCCCACACTAGATGTCGTAGGGGATCGAACAAATTGAATTGAACGTTCAAATACAACTACATAGTCTGATCGAAATCGTGTCGTATAAAATCCCATAACCGATACGTTCACGAGCAGGAACCATACGCGAGCAAATGTATGCGTTCTATGCTAAACAATTTGCAGTGAAACTCACTCGCACATCCTTATGATCTATCATTGTTTTGTTACTTAACTAAGACCACGCGATCTTCTCATTTACTGTAACAATATGAATGGGAAAGTAAATTATTATTCTGTTTACCAATTTACCATTTCGTTACCAATTTGGATGCATTTTGGTGTAAGAAGATGTTAGCTTTTGTAACAAAATACCTACAAAAATACACTGCTAAAACCACTGGATTATTTTAATTATCCTGCTTTCGCCTCCGAGATTTATTTGTATAGTTTACCATGTAGTCGTACGGGGGTAGCCAATC